AAAAGGAATTAATGGCCTCTCCATGAAAATGGCCTTTTGTAATACTGCATCCTATCCTGACTCAGGACTAGTGATATAGGTGGGCAACCTTGGCTCTTTTATGACTCGTGGACTTCAACTCCCAGAATTCCTGAGCCAGCCATGCTGAGGGGAAAGGGAGAGGTTTCCAAGCTGAGCCATGCTGGCTCAGGAATTCTGGGAGTTGAAGTCCACGAGTCATGAAAGAGCCAAGGTTGCTTACCCAATATAGGTAATGGTTTTAGATGGGAGTGTGTGGTGGAGCTGCAGGCTCTGACTATGTCTTCTGCAGTCCCTGGAACTCCCTCTGAGTGAGCCCCCACCTCCACCCCTCCAGTTTTCAATAGTTTCTGAAGAACATACCAAAACTCTAGAGTAGTGCCTCTCAATCTTGGCAACTTTTAAGAGGTGTGGACTTCAACTCCCAGAATTCCCCATAGGGCTGGTGAATTCTGGGAGTTGACGTCCATTCGTCTTAAAGTTGCCCAGGTTGAAAAACGCTGCTCTAGTGCAACCTATAAGCAAAGGAAGTCTCCTTCGTGCACCTAAATAAACCAGAAGTAAAGGGAAAAATCCAGTCTGATGTGGCTGATGGTTCTGCATCGATCAGCCTGAGATTACAGGCAAAGGAACCAGCAAACTATTCCTTGCCCATTTGTAGAGTAGATCAAAAGTTCTTGACTAGTCATCTTCCCTTTTATCTTTCCAGTTTGATCTTTCTAAGTTCCCTCCCTTCCAAAAATAAACCACCTTTGCTGTGGTTTGTGGGGATCCTGCTGGCTAAGCAAAGCAATGCTCTGGAGATCCACCCCAAATCTTTCCTTGAAGGGACCAGGGCTCTGCCTCTCTTTCTTCTGGATTCCCCTCTTGGTCCCAGAGAATGGGGGAAGGTAACATAGAACATAGAATCGTAGGGCTTAAAGGAACCTCAAAGGTCTTCTAGTCCAACCCCGTGCTCAAGGCAGGAGATCAGTTTATTTTTTTTTTTAAATCTCCAGCGATGGGCTAGTCTGGGGCAATGCAGGTCCTCCCAGTGCAGGAGAGTTGCAGCGAGGCAACCTGTTTTGCAAAGCCTGCTCAAAGGAGGGGATGCCTTTCCTTCCCTTTCCGCTAAATCTTCCACTCACCTCCTCCTTGCAGCCGTTGCATTGCAGCCTGTTGACCTCCGGCAGCGGTGCTCCTCTCAAGCTGCAAAGGGGAAATAAATAAATAAAATGCAGAACCGAGCTTCTCACGACTAGTCAAAGAGTGGAGGGCTAGGAAGGAGGAAGGAGTCTGCCTCTGGGCGTCTCTAGCAAGCAGATCTCGGTATAATTAACCCCTTCTGGGCCGCTGGGGGGAAGAAACACCTTCGGAGCACGATGATCACTCATAGAGGGGGGTTTTTTTGTGGGGGGGTGTTGTTGTGGATTTGGAAGAGAAGGGCAAATAAGCAAAGCTCATCGCGTAGGACAGTGTTTTTCAGCCTTGGCAACTTTTAAGATGGGTGGACTTCAACTCCCAGAATTGAATGGCTGGCTGGGGAATTCTGGGAGTTGAAGTTCAACCATCTTAAACTTGCCAAGGATGGAGAAACACTGTGTAGGCAACCTTGGCTCTTTTATGACTCGTGGACTTCAACTCCCAGAATTCCTGAGCCAGCCTGGCTCAGCTTGGAAACCTCTCCCTTTCCCTTCAGTGTGGCTGGCTCAGGAATTCTGGGAGTTGAAGTCCACGAGTCATAAAAAAGCCAAGGTTGCCTACCCCTGGTGTAGGATAACTTTTCCCAAATGCATGCCCGCTGTAGCTCCCATTAATCCCAGCCCAGCCCATTGTATGCACTCAGAAATCCAGATCGGGGGTGCAAAAATCCTGGTGTCCATGGGCACTTCTCTACAAAGCTGCCTTGGCCCGCACCCAGCATGTGGAGAGTGATATGACCTGCGGCCTTAGCCTGTTGCATAGACAGTGTCAGGAACAGAGGTGCAGCATTTTTGTGAAATGGAGCAAACTGTGCCTGGAACACAACAGACCTTCACCAAGGGGATGTTGGCAATTGTTAAAAGCCTTAAAACAAGAAAACACAAAGTTAAAAAAAAAGAACCTGGTAAAGATAACAGGTGGGAACAAAGAAAAAGACGAAAAAGGGGTTTCAATCATATTTGTTGTAAAGCGTCTTCAGGACTCTTTGAACGCCAGTAGGGTGGGGGCCATTCAAAACTCAAGGGCAACTTAATTTTTAAAAAATGAGGTTATGCATCAGGCTAAACCACAGTCAAACCTCAGGGGCGTAATGGTTACTGGACAAACCATTTATCTGGGGGGTTTGCCTAATGCAGGGGTAGGCAACCTTGGCTTTTATGACTCGTGGACTTCAACTCCCCAGAATTCCTGAGCCAGCCATTCTGAGGGGAAAGGGAGAGGTTTCCATGCTGGCTCAGGAATTCTGGGAGTTGAAGTCCATGAGTCATAAAAGAGCCAAGGTTGCCTATCCCTGGCCTAATGCATGGCATCATAAACTAACCCTGAGGTTAATTCAGTCATCTAGTTAACCAAGTTTTCTATCATAGCCAGAGAGCCATCCTGGCTAAAACCTTATATAAAACTCCCCCACCCAAAAAAACCTGAATGGGATGGTAATCTTATTAGCTTGATCAATCTCTCTCTCTCATTTTGTGATTAATTTTTAAGGTGAATCATAATATAATAAAGAGCACAGAGTATCCAAAATTGTGATTGAAAAGATCTAAGGCTACAAAAGAGAGACCATATATTATTAATAAGAAATGAAGTCAGTCTCAACCATCCATAAAATACTGCTCCATCTTCTCACTTACAAAGTAAAAGGATATTTCAAAAATCAATAAGGAACGCATCTCGTGAATCCATTCTTTAATATTACTTTCTAATTGAACAGTATAATTCTCTTTCCCAAATCTAATAAAGCTGCAATTCTATAATTATCTGGAACCAAAAGAAAAAAACAAAGCCGCAGCTGACCATGATCAATCATAGGAATTAAATTTCTTACAAAAGAAATCTGATACAGTACACAATTTTTATAAACATTGTTTGAGGTATCCAATAAGAAGACAGCAACATTTTCTGATGGATCCATTTCTCTCTTGAGTAACAGTGGGGAAAAAAAACATGGAGCTACCAGAAGCAGGGAGATGATGATAACCCAATAAAAACCTAATGGAAACAGCTCTTGGGTGAAAGAGTTATTACAACGATAGACGGAATTGCATACCACCTTATAGGAGTTACCTTCCACTTTTCCACTGCAAATCATTCACAACCAGCTTGAGCCAAGATTGTCCAATGAAGACCAAAGACAGGACATGTACCAAGCTTTGGAATGCCAGCAGGCCCCGTTGCTATGGGCAACGCTCAACAGATGCCCAGATGCCATGGTGATGGAGTAGACCAGGGGTTTTCAAACTTGGCTCTTTTATGACTTGTGGACTTCAATTCCCAGAATTCCTCAGTCAGCATGCCTGGCTGAGGAATTCTGGGATTTGATTTCCACAAGTCATAAAAGGGCCAAGTATGAAGACCCCTGGAGTAGACGTTTGGGCCTTGGAGAACAGTTAGATACACGTGTCCATGGTCAAATTAATTTGGGTAGGGAGAAAGCTGTTTCTCAAGGAACTGTGTTTGCAAAATCACTTTTGAAAGAAAAAGCAAGGAGCTATGTTCAGGACACACAGTGAGAAACTTTACAGACCCACATATAGGTCCATCAAATACTATTACTCATTACTCATTTTCGCTTTAAAAATTAACCAGACTTAACTTTAGAGGTGGAATCAAGTAGAAGGTAGGGACTGCTTCTGTATTCACCTTATGGTTTCTTAGCATCCTAGTAGTATCTAGTTTATGGACACGACTTTAAATATGAAATAACCTTTACTATTGTGATTGAATAAATGAAATAGACTAGAGGTGTCCAATTTTAAGACCTGTGGAAGTGGAAGTATTAATACCACTTTATAATGCCTTGGTAAGGCCACACTTGGAATACTACATCCAGTTTTGGTCACCACGATGTAAAAAAGATGTTGAGAGTCTAGAAAGAGTACAGAGAAGAGCAACAAAGATGATTAGGGGACTGCAGGCTAAAACATATAAGGAACGGTTGCTGGAATTGGGTGTGTCTAGTTTAATGAAGAGAAGGATGAGGGGGGACATGATAGCAGTGTTCCAGTATCTCAGGGGCTGCCACAAAGAAGAGGGAGTCAAACTGTTCTCCAAAGCACCTGAAGGCAGGACAAGAAGCAACAGATAGAAACTAATCAAGGAGAGAAGCAACCTAGAACTAAGGAGAAACTTCCTGACAGTTAGAACAATTAACCAGTGGAACAGCCTGCCTCCAGAAGTGGTGAATGCTCCAACACTGGAAGTTTTTAAGAAGAGACTGGACAGCCATTTGTCCGAAATGGTATAGAGTTTCCTGCCTGAGCAGGGGGTTGGACTAGATGACCTCCAAGGTCCCTTCCAACTTTATTATTATTATTATTATATACCTCAGTGAATCACTGTGACCGTGTGAACACCGGTTGTTATAGCAAGCATAACAGAAGTGGAAACCCATTGTTCATTATAAATGCAGTTTTGGTAAAAAACCAGAAATGCCGGTTTTCGGCAAAGCGGCTGTAAAAAAGTCACACGACCATGCGACACGGCAAAGGGCTGAAAATCTGTCCTTGTTGCCCAACGCCCAAAGTACGGTCACGTTGATTCCCAATGGGATACCCAATCCTCCAAATGTCTGATGATTTTCAGGTAGGCTGTAGCGTCAAACAGTCACTAATAGCATCATCAATGGAGGAATAGCTCCACATCAAAAGGGCTGATTCCACGGCCATGGCCATCTGGGCCTTTTTTGACTGACATACACGCCATCACCACTCCTAAATGTCCTCTGACACAAGAATCTTTTCTTTTTTAAGGGACAGGAAGTGTAACATTCAGGAGAGGGGTGGAAGAAGGTCGAGGTCTTAACGTTTTCCTCCCAAGATCAAACTCAACCGTTTTTCACATTCTGAGCATTTTCCCGGGGTTTGCCCAGAGGGCTTTTTCAAAGGGGCAATGAGGTTAGGCTTCCTGATTACATTTCGCCCGCAGTCCAGACACTGGCTTGGTTGAACTTTGGTGTGGACACTCTGATGCATCCTAAGGTGAGAGCTGTTTTTGAACGTTTTGCTGCAGAGCGGGCATTCAAATCTCTTTTCTTTCAATTGCATTTGCGCATGTTCAGGATCCAAACTCGGGGACGGTCCCTGGGTGCACTCAGGACACTTTGAGACCTTTTCCGCCTGGTCCCCGTGCTGTCCGAAACCTTTCCCGCGCTCTAACCACCTTGCAACATCTTCTCCCACGTGGACCTTCTGATGCCGCAAAAGGACCGAGCTGGAGAAGAAACTTTTCCCACAATCCGTACACACGTAGGGCCTCTGCCCTGTGTGGATCCTCACGTGCACCAGAAGGCTGGACCTCCTGTCAAACGTTCTCCCGCAATCAGAACACAGGTAGGGTTTCTCTCCCGTGTGAATCCTCTTATGCAACAGGAGGTGTGAACTCCACCGGAAACTTTTATCACAATGAGAGCAACGGTAGGGTTTCTCTCCCCTGTGAGTCCTCTCATGAGATTTGAGATCCGAGATGTTTCGGAAGTTTTTTCCACACAGTAAGCACTTGTGTGGCTTTTCTCCAGTATGGATTCTCTCATGAGCTATCAGACTGTGTCTCTGGCTAAAGCTTTTCGTACAATGGGAACATTTGTGCGGCTTCTCTCCTGTGTGGACTTTCTGATGCGCAAGGCGCTGCAAGTTGTTCCGAAACGTTTTCCCACAGGCCGAGCACTCAAACAGCTTCTCTTTGTGAGTCTGCACGTGCGCCAAGAGCTCAGAGCTGCGTTCAAATATTTTCCCGCAGGCAAAACATGCCAACAAATCTTCCGCCAGGTGAGTCTTCTTGTGTTCCACCAGCTCCGATTTCTGACCGAAACTTTTTCCGCAGTGGGAGCATAGAGTTGTGTGAATTCTCTCGTGCGACAGGAAGTGCGAGCGCCGGCTGAAACACTTCCCACAGTACAAACAGACATACGGTTTCTCGCTGGTGTGGATTCTCTGGTGCACTATGAGACTCGACTCGTTTCGGAAGTTTTCGCCGCACACAGAGCATTTGTAAGGCTTCTCGCCCGGATGGGTTCTTTGGTGTTTCAAAAGATCGGATTTCTGACTACAACTTTCCCCACACTCGGCACACACATAAGGCTTCTCCTCCGCGGAGATCTCCTCGTGAGCATGACAGTCAAACGTCTGCCCGCAATGAGAGCATTTGTGGGGCTTCTGGCCTTTGTGGATCCTCTCACTTTCTCCACAGTGAGAACATTTGTAGAGTTTCTCGCCAACGTGGGTCCTCTCGTGGGTCAGCAGATGGGAGCTGTTACCGAAGTTTTTACCACAATGCCAACATCGGAACAGCTTCTCTTCTGCATCCGGGCTTTCAGTTGTTGTAATCTGCAAGCTTTGTTGCCCCCCTTCCCCACTCCCATTATTATATATCTTCTCCTCCTCTTGGACAGCAGGGCCTCTGAGTCCTGGGCAAACGCTTTGGGGCTGAACTAACTGGTCCACTCCCTTCCTAACATCACTTCCATTCTGCCTAGGTGCCACGTCATGGCTTCCATTGTTCTCTTTGAAAACTGGCAGATCGCTCTCGATGGCAGCTTTCAAAAACATCCTTAGAGGCTTCCTTCTCTCAGAATTCATCAGCTTTGGTTCGCCATCTTCATTCAGCCACCCGATGCCTGCTAAAAGAAAGAAAGGAAACTGGACATTGACCGGAAAGTATTGTGTTAACATGCTCTCTTGTTTGGCCATCAGTTAAATAGCTTGTCCGCTTTTACAAAACAAGTTAATATCCTCACAAAACAGGTCATCCTTTTGCCCAGTGATCTGCCCTGATGATGTTACCTAGCTTGGTGATGAAATATCTGCAAGAAAACAACCAAGCTCAAAGAGCACCAAGGAACACAATGATTGTGACTAGTTATACTAGTCTCCCACTAACTCTTTGCTAGCCACAAATTTTGTATATATACATACATACATACATACATTCAAAATTTGTGGCTGGCAAAGAGTTAGTGGGAGACTAGTATAGCTATTTCAGGCTCATTAGCTCTCATCAGCTAGTCACACCCTTCAGGGATTCGAACCTGGGCAGCTTGCATGTTAGGCAGCTGTATTACCCTTTTGAGCCACAGGTTCCCCTACTCCTGTCAGCAGAAACCAGGGAGGATATATAACTTATCTGTTGGGTGAGGCACCCGGTCTACCAAATATAAATCAGTCTGTTCTGCGTTTCGCTCCAATCTAGGAGCATGTTTTTCAGGCAGATGTCACATACTGTGAGCACTATAAATTCAAAATTTGTGGCTGGCAAAGAGTTAGTGGGAGACTAGTATAGCTATTTCAGGCTCATTAGCTCTCATCAACTAGTCAGGGATTCGAAACTGGGCAGCTTGCATGTTAGGCAGCTGTATTACCCAACAGATAAGATATATATCCTCCCTGGTTTCTGCTGACAGGAGTAAGGGGGAACCTGTGGCTCAAAAGGGTAATACAGCTGCCTAACATGCAAGCTGCCCAGGTTCAAATCCCTGAAGGGTGTGACTAGCTGATGAGGGCTAATGAGCCTGAAATAGCTATACTAGTCTCCCACTAACTCTTTTGGTTGTGCAGAAAAAGCTTGATGGGTTGATATTTGGATCAAAGTACTGGATGGAAAGGTTCAAGTGTCCACTGTGGCAGGGATCTGATCACCAACCATGGCAACTTTAGGACTTGTGGCCTTCAATTCCCAGAATTCTTCAGCAGCATGGCTGGCTGAGGAATTCTGGGAGTTGAGGTCCACAAGTCCTAAAGTTGCAAAGGTTGGAGACCCCTGCACTACGGGATGAAAATCACTGCATGGATTTCTATCACTTACTTTCAAACTGACTTATCTTGGAGGCATCTCCATATAGTCCTTGAATGAAAATCCGGAAAATAAACAGAATGAAGAATATATTATTGGTAGAAATTTAATTATTGCATTAGTATTTATGTAGATACAGTAGTGGTCAAAATTGTGGAAAGCTTTTGGGAAAAGTGTACAGTAGAAGTGCCACCCTTGGTTAAGTTTCCACCAATTTTCCTTCTAATTTCTTTATAACTGTAGCCTTGTTCACTTAATAATACTATTTTACATTGCTTTCTGGGCAACCAGTCGACTCTTTGCACCATTACTTTAATTTTATTACATTTTACAAGCTCACTAAAATGAAAGAACACAAAAAACCCCAACCAACTTGATAGGGATCATATAACACACTGACAAGTGTCCTCCTCTCAGCTTCAATACAGGACATCAATAACTGAATCCTACTGTGATCTGATTGGCTCATTGCCAAAACAAGATGACACCTGATTGGCTCTCTAAACAGTCATGCTCATTGGCTACAATCAGATGAAGGAAAGCTACCTAATATCAACCTAAGCAAGTTGTGCTTCCTTTTTCTGGTTATTTGGCTATAGCTTTTCATAGAATACAGTACAGATAACCGTGGTATCCGCAGCAGAACATCCAGATTCAGCCATAGTTTCATTCCATACAGCATTAACCTTGTGAACTCTCAAGCTTCCTCCTTCCGTTATATATTCAAGATGGACAATGTTTAATATTATTTGTTATGTATATGTGGGGGTGTGGGTCTATACATATGTTGTATATAGTATGTTTTAGGTGTGTGTCATGTATGTGTTTCACTTTGAGAGCGGGCAACTAAATTTCATTTTTGATGTGTGCCGTTCTGCCCACGGTAAAAAAAATGACAATAAAACTTATCTTATTTTATCTTATCTAACAAACTATGTTGCATTACATTCTTGATTAAATTATCTTTCCATTGATATATAATTTTAGGGTAGTACTCCCCCCCCAAAAAAGTGGTGTTATTAGCCATCAAACCTCAAAAATACACTTTTCCCAAAAGGTTTCCACAATTTTGGCCACTACTGTATGTGCTGAGTTTATGGATGTTTTAGAATTACGCTGGTTATTGGGATCTCTGATGGTTTATTACGTTACACCAGAGATGTTTTGATTGTTGCCATGAGTCAGCTTGGATTTGAAGGCACACGAGTTTAGCAAATGAATACATAAAATGCATCACAGACGTGGCAAACATTTGCTCTTTGTTCTGCTTTCTTGCAATTCAGGGAAAAGCCAGAATGATCTGTCTCCAAGAGCCAGAAAGCAAAAGAGATTTATTTATTCATTATTCAATTTATGTGCTAGCCTAGTGATGGCTAACCTTTTAGAGACCGAGTGCCCAAACTGCAACCCAAAACCCAGTTATTTATCACCGGGTGCCAGGTGGGCGTGGCCCATTGGGTGGGCGTGGCTGTGGTGATCATGGCAGTTTGGGTGGGTGTGGCCAAGGTGGGCATGATCACCTCAATGTTGCTCATGGGGAGGGACGCCTGTGGGGGCCGGGCAGGGTTGGGGGAGATCCAGGGGGTCTCTGGCAGGTAGGGCGGTAGGCAGGAGGCTCGTCCTGCGGGGTGAGGTGAGGCAAGGTGGGGGTGCCATTGTCACAGGGCAAGGTGAGGCAGGGGCCGGGGCGGCGGCTGCCTGACACCATCGGCCCCTGCACACAGAGGCCAGTGAGCACATGGATGCTGGGATGCATCCAGCAATGAGGGACCTCAGCGAGTTAGCGGGCGGCTGGTTGAAGAGGGACGGTTGCCATCTCCGGGGCATGGCGAGCGTGCCCACAGAGAGGGCTCTGAGTGCCGCCTCTGGCACGTGTGCCATAGGTTCGCCACCACTGTGGTAGCCAGTTCTCAGGAACTTACTCAAGTTGTGGCTGCTCTCTGGTTTACTCATTCCAAAATCCTCATCCTTTGGTGGTTCTGACGGAAGCTGGTTTGACTTGAGCATTTTTCCAATATCTTCTTCTGACATCTCTGTCATCTGGAAAAGAGTGGGTGGGGGGAAGGAACAGTTCCAAGTGAATTCATGGTGAAGTCAAAATGTGCAGGGGGTGACCAAGCCATTATTTATATATTTATTTGTATGCCAGCTTTATTATTTTTAGAATATAACCCAAGGCAGCAAACATATCCAACCCATCCTCCTCCTCCTATTGTCTCTGCAACAACAATCCTATGAGGTGGGTTGGGCTAAGAGAGAGAGAGAGAGAGAGACTGGCTCAAAATCACCCAGCTGGCTTCCCTAGCTAAGGTGAGACTAGAATTCCTGGTTTCCAGCCTGGTGACTTAACCACTAAAACATTATTTACTGATTAGAGCAGGGTCTTCAAGCTTGGCCCTTTTCTGACTTGTGGACTTCAACTCCCAGAATTCCTCAGCCAGGCACGCTGGCTGAGGAATTCTGGGAGTTGAAGTCCGCAAGTCAGAAAAGGGCCAAGTTTGAAGACCCCTGATCAAGATAAACCAGGGGTCTTCAGACTTGGCCTTTTTATGACTTGTGGACTTCAACTCCCAGAAATCCTCAGCCAGGCACGCTGGCTGAGGAATTCTGGGAGTTGAAGTCCACAAGTCATAAAAGGGCCAAGTCTGAAGGCCCTTGGATTAGAGGGACAGTTCTCTATTCTTCAGGGTTTTTTTTTTAAAAAAGAGGATTTCTGAGCAATTCATTCTGATTTTTTTTAAAATGAGGAACCTGATAAACTAGTTTGGGAGTCTTAGCTGTATTTATTTAAATATATTTATTTAGCTTCTACCTTGCCAGAATTCAAAGACTCCTGCAGTCTAAAGCAATAAAAGCATAAAACAGTACAGATAAAAAAGACAATAAAATCCTATTTTATTTTATTTTTTTAAAAAAAGTTTGGCCGCCCCTAGGGCATCTTCAGGCTATTGGGAATCAGACACATGATAATTTTTGTTTATTTCAAACATTTATTTTCAGATTCCCTTGTGCAGAAAAGTTTATTTCCTAGGTACCGTGCAGTGATTTCTTATGCAGCTCCAGAAATAATCATTTTAATATTTAAAAGGCTGACTCCCATCTATTCAATAGGACAGATTATATCTCCAACGTATCATTTTTATTTCTTTGTATGCTATCTCTATTTCATAAAGGAATGATACCTATTCTTGCATGATACATATACTATACGACAGTGGTGGCGAACCTATGGGACGCGTGCCAGAGGCGGCACTCAAGAGCCCTCTCTGTCTGCACGCGCACCGCGGCCACTAGCAGCTCGCGCAGGTCCATTAGACTGCCGCCACCCGGAGCAGCAGCCCTGCCCAGCATAAAGCAGACAAAATGGCCAGCTAGCAAGCTCGAGTAGAGATGTTAGAATATCGAGTGGCCACACCTACTTGGCCACACCCACCCAGTGTGACCACCCTGGCCACGCCCATCCAATGGGCCGCACACCCCGCCCTTCCTGAGGGAACCACAATGCTGATGTAGCCCTGGCACTTTGCAATAAATAAGTGGGTTTTGGGTTATGGTTTGGGACTCGGTCTCTAAAAGGTTCGCCGTCACTGCTATACGAGAAGACCGAACTCCAATGAGATTTAATCTTGTGAGATTTTGTAGGCAATTTTTTTTTTAATTTCATTTGGGGCTTCCAAGGGTGCCTTTTAGAAGTATCCCAGATGCCTGGATACCCACAAATACATTGCCCGCAAATTTTCCATGAGATTCTCTCCTTGAGCCAGCACAAATTTCTTTTTTGTGTGTGTGCCTTTAGAGTCAGTCTTGACTCTGGGCAACTACAGGATCAAGTCCACACAGTTTTCTTGGTAGCATTTTTTCAACCAGCTTTAAGAACATTCTCTTTAGGTGACCCAAAAATATCCAGCTAGCTTTGTGCTTTAGGCAGGACGAGATCCCACAATCTTCCAATTTGTAGCCTGGTACCTTTAACCAAGCACCAAACTGGCTTTCCAGCACCCATACTTTCATCTCCATCCTTGAGCAGTTGTCTCCTAATCCAGGGGTCCCCAACCCCCGGTCTGTGGACCGGTACCAGACCGCAGCATGCCAGCAACCGGGCTGCACAAACAAGCAAAGCCCCATCTGCAGGATGCAGGCAGCACACAAAACCACGCCCCCTCCGGTCGGCGGAAAAACCTCTCTCCACGGAACCGGTCCCTGGTGCCCAAAAGGTTGGGGACCTCTGCCCTAATCCCTTGTCCTCATCACAGGGACTGTGTCGTGACAGATGGAAGATGCTGGTGAGCAGGCATGCATTTTTTTTATATTATATTATATTTTTTATTAATTTTTTACACAAGCATAAGTCATTCAATAACTGGTAAGCAATGTGTTGTCTGGGTTACATTTGTAAAAACAGTCCTTAACAATTGATTTCTATAGTCTGTATTCCATATATTAATTTTGGTTAATTTCCTCTTTCCCCGAAACATCCTTTTTTGCAAACGTTAATACAATTCTTATTGTTTTAATAAATGACAATTTAATATATATTTTTTCCAATATTCCTGAAAAATAATCATCATATTAATACATTTCTTTTCTTTCCAATCATTTGGATTGCCTTATCATCGATCCTGTTACAATCCTTATTTTAGTTTATTTCTCCCATCAAATTCTAAATATTTTTACTGGTAAAGGTTTTCTCAGCGATTAGTTACATTTACATTGACAGACTTAATTCTATTTTTTCCATATAGGCCATCTTCTCTCTTTTTTTTTTCATTTTTCTTCTTTTCCCCTTTCTTTTTACTCTTATATTTAATACTTAAAAAACGTTAAAATGTGAGATGGCATGTATTTTTTTTTAATCAAGATTGGGGAGTAGCTAATTTATATTGTGTGGTTATAAACCCCAAAATAGCAATGTTCCAAACTGCAAATACCCTCACCTGCCGTTCCCATGTCTGGGTCTCCTGTCGCTTCAAGAGGAACTCCTCTGACAAGGACACTGCATGGGCACAAGTCTCTGGGCCATATTTCCTGAGCCAATTCTGCATATCCAGAGGCAAGGCAAACAGAAACTGCTCCAAGGTCACCAGGTCCAGGATCTGCTCCTTGGTGTGTTTCTCTGGTTTCAACCACTCACGACAAAGCTCTTGAAGCTGCTGGCAAAAATCTCGAGGTCCCTTGGCCTCTTCGTAGCTCAGGGTCCGGAAGGGATGGCATCTTGTCTCCACCCTGATGGCTTCTTCAGCCAGATCTCCCATCTTCTCCTTCCCACCACGGGCAACATCCAGAAGGGTGTCCCAATCGTCTTGGGTTGTCCCAACGAGATGAGTCTCGATCTGGGAAATCCACATTTCTTCCGACCATTTGCTGGTATCCATCCCTCCTTGGGAGGACATCCGAGACAATTTAGGACCACCCCAGAGCTTTGGCTCCAGGAACTGTGGAACTTCTCTTCTTCCCTGAGGACCCTGCAGTGTCTTCAGAAACTCTTGCAACTGGGCATCCCAGTTCTTTGACGGATTTTCCTCTGGCTCTTCTTTCACGTTATGTCTTGGTTCTTCCTTGCTTTTCCCAAAGTTTAGAAAATGTGTTCTTCCTTCTCCTGGCTTGGGGTCAATGGAGTCTTGTTCTTCCGTTTTTACTTCAGGATTCATATTGTGATGTAGCGGAGACCCGACAGCCTCTACCTCTTGCACAGTAGACATTTTGTCCTTCAAGGACTGGCCTGGTCTATCGTCGTCTTTATTAGCAGCATTCCTCGGAGGCTATTGCGGCATTATGCAACAGATTTGAAGCATTCAATGAAACTTATTCACCGATCGAAGCATCCGCATCTTCCCCCTTTTTGAAAATGGCACGAGTGTGCTTTCCACTGAGAAGTACTAGATAGGAAATAAGAAAGAAAAGGTATTGGAACCAAAGCTCTGTTTTTCTGGGGACTTTTTTTTTTTTTTTTTACAAATGCAATGTTTACTAATAGGCTTAAAAGGAGATGGGGAGTACTGGATTTATTCTAATGAATCACATTTCTCATACACAGTGCTTTTTTTTCTAAAAAAAAAAAAAAAAAGTGCCAGAACTAACACACAACATACAACCCGCCTTGCCTACCCTACAAGGTTCCATCCCAAAAAGGTGCCGGAACTCCGTTCTGGGCGTTCTATGAGAAAAAAAGCCCTGCTCATACATACAGCAATGATCCCAGGAGACACAAAGCCATTTTACTCCTCAATTTTTATGAATTACCCAACTATGCTCATTTGATCCTGATGATAGCATAGTCATTCCTGACCTAAGTTATGTTGTCACCTAACAGCAGATAAGGATTATTGGACTGAACAGTCTCAATAGACCGATTCACATGTAACACTAAATCCTCATGAGGCATTCATGCCTCATCCTAAGCAATAAAACGGTGTAGTGAAAGCATGAAACCCAATCAAACAGCCACCTGCAAAAGCCTGAAATCTAAATGCAATTCAACTGCAAACCATAGACATGGATTACATTAAGCCAGGGCAAGCTTCACATTCTAATTTTGTGCAGGTCCTCCTCTTTTAAGGCACAGCAATGTGCTTCCCGTTAATTTGTATCTCACGCATATCCAAATGATCATCCATGCAATGTACATGCGTCTCACATGAAGACTACCCAGTCGTGAGGACATTGTACAAAAGACCTTGCTAGGACTGCTAATGGTGCACCCCAAGGGACAAAAGTGCAAAATGTAAAAGAAGACACATTACCCAAACAATTGCAATAGCTAACGTAGAAGAAATAGGATCGAGTGCATACCCCCAGTCAACGTGGTTGAGATGCAGAGGGAACAAAAAATTCAGGCAAAAAATTCTCCCTATCCTCTTTGTGCCCCACCCCCCGCCCCCACCCCACTATAAAGATCTAGAAAGAAAACATTAAAATCATCGTCCTTTCAGGATGCAGACAGCCCTAATAAAGCATCTAATTTCATTCGCCGGGGTCTCTTACAGGAGACCCCAATAAAACAGCCTTTGAAAACATTATCTGACACTGCTGCGGCTTTTTAAAATGACCTGTTTTTTGTATTGCGCTCCTTAAAAATTTGCAAATTCACTGATCTCTCCAGCCTTACAACGTGCAGCAAAATGATTCCCCGGCGCAAACAGAATGGAACTTTCCTTTGGATACAGGCTTGCGTCTCTCTAGCCTTTACAAATTCTATTGCATTAACCCTTCCTAGCAATGTTCCTTAGTTGTGGGCATACCAGGGTGGTAAGCCTGCCCTACACAATCAAGGTAGTAGAAGGTACTCTTTGATTAATCTACGGCCTCAACTGATCCCAAAATTTCTGTTGCTAAGCAAGACAGTTGTTAGGCGAGTTTTACTCCATTTTGCGACCTTTCTGGCCACAGTTGTTAAGTTAATTTACTGCAATTGTTAAATTAGTAACAGGGTTGTTAAATGAATCTTTCCCACTGACTTTGCTTGTCAAAAGGTTGCAAATGCGATCCTAGGAGTCTAGGACACTGCAACTATCATAAGTACAGGTCAGTTGCCAAGCGTCCGAAGTTTGATCACGTGAGCACGGGGATGCTGCAGTGGTCGTCAGTGTGAAAAAGTCACAATCCATTTTTTCCAGTGCTGTTATAACTTTGAACAGTCCCTAAATGAATGGTTGTAAGTCGAGGACTGCCTGTATTCAGGTTAAGGACTACTGTACTTGTTCGGGGACTGTTTAAAACTATGAAGTTTATTTTCATCATAATGGCCTAAATGAGGGGTAGGCAACCTTGGCTCTTTTATGACTCATGGACTTCAACTCCCAGAATTCCTGAGCCAGCCATGCTGGCTCAGGAATTCTGGGAGTTGAAGTCCACAAGTCATAAATTGCTAAGGTTGCCTACCCCTGGCCTAAATGTTTTAGGTTAATAACAACAACAACAACAACAACAATAATAATGAAAAGTTGGAAGGGACCTTGGAGATCATCAAGTCCAACCCCTTGCTCAGGCAGGTAACCCTATACCATTTTGGACAAATGGCTGTCCAGTTTCTTCTTAAAGACTTCCAGTGTTGGAGCATTCACCGCTTCTGGAGGCAGGTTGTTCCACTGGTTAATTGTTCTAACGGTCAGGAAATTTCTCCTTAGTTCTAGGTTGCTTCTCTCTTTAGTTAGTTTCCATCCATTGCTTCTTGTCCTGCCTTCAGGCGCTTTGGAAAGAAAAGAATCGAGTTTGCTTAAAACGGCAAGTTGGTAATTTCCCTCTCCCTCCCCAATTAGAACGTGCAATTTAATAATAGCGATGGCAATAAAACTATCCCCTAAAGCAGTGTTTCTCAACCTTGACAATTTTAAGGCATGTGGACTTCAACTCCCAGAATTCCACAGCCAGCAATGCTGGCTGTGGAATTCTGGGAGTTGAAGTCCACATGCCTTAAAATTGTCAAGGTTGAGAAACACTGCCCTAAAGCACTGGGGTTTTTTTTGTTTTGTTTTTTTTTTTAAAAAACGTGGCAACGTTAAGATGTGTGGACTCTAACTCCCAGCATTTCCCGGTCATCGTGGTCTCTAAACACTTCCGCTAGCCCGTTTCAATGGCAATGAAAGAGTTAAAGCCATAGAGCTGTCACTCCTAGAGGGGCGTCATAGATGGCCGAGGGAAGCTCCTTCCTGTTTGCCGCTGAGCCCGCGAGTCGCTCCCGTGGAGGGCCGAAGAAGAAAGGGCAGGTAAAGGAAGCGAGGCGGCGGGTTGTGGGGATCGGCTACACGCGTCACGGCCGTCGTAAGTAGGCCTGCGAGAGAGCTGGGCTACGGAAAGAAAGAGTCGGGGTGGTTTCCCATCTCTTTGCCGCCGTGCAAGTTTTAAGGCTGGTCCCGGGCAAGCCCAATAGGATACTAATGATTGTTTTCCCACCAATTTCACCCATTAGATATACAGCAAACCAGTTTAAACTCCAGTTTTGCGTTTCCCACCGGCCATGTCTGACAAACTCCTCTTTTTTGGTAGGGCAAAAGAATGTGAGCCGTAATGCAAAATTCAGAGATCTCAACAGACAATAAGTCCTCTTTTGTTTTTTCCCCCCCAGCTCTCTCTTCCATAAAAGCTTTTTGTGTAGGGACATAACGGGTGAAAATTAGCATTTTTTTAATCATTCAACCCCAGGATCTTAGGAAGGCAGGTTTCAGCTACCGGGTAATTTTTTTTTTTTTTTGCTTTGTTATTTTGATCTGGGAAACCAGAGGTGAAATACTTTGCTGGCGGGAGGGGAGGGGATCTTGGCTGTCAAGTATCCTCCAAACTCTATAAAATGATGAGTCTACTGGTTGGGAAAAGGAAAAAAAAGAGAGGGGGTTCCTTTAACACTTTCCAGATAGGAAATTAAGACGATCTCTTCCTGTAATGAATATAATAGAACAGATCTTTGCTGTGTGGGAAGTCAGCCCCCCCCCACCAGAGAAGGAAATATTAAAAGGGCAGAAAAGTATATTTCCTCAAAGGACCTTAAAGAGGCAGGAAAGCATGCTCAGTTTTTCTTAATAGCCCTAGGTCTCTCTCCCCCAAGCAGGGACCAGCTCTATAGAGATGCAGATGTAAATCCAGGGAGCTAGAAGCTTAGGACAGTGATGGCGAACCTTTTAGAGACCGAGTGCCCAAACCGCAACCCCAAACCCACTTATTTATCGCAAAGTGCCAGGATCGCATCAGCATTGTGGTGCCCTGGGGAGGGGGGGGGGCAGGGAGGCACCTCTGAGTGCCATCTCTGACATGCAAAAACTGGTGGCAAAAAAAGGGGCCACCGTGCTGCAAGGCACAAAAATGGCCACCGCCACGCCACGGGGTGCAGATACAAGGCGCTGCACCACGTAAGAACGGGGCAGGGTTAGTGGGCACTAGCCCCGACCCATTTGCAGCACGTGCGTGCTCGCGGCCCCATGCGCGCATGCACACATGTAAAATGCTTCCCCCTCCCTTTTCTTCCAGTCCGCCAATCGACAATGGTTGGTGACCTCTGCTCTACCACCTCTACTCGAGCTTGCTAGTCGGCCACTTCGCCTCCTTTGTGCTGGGTGGGGCTCCTGCTCCAGGCGGCGGTGGCGGCCTTAAGGACCTGCTGCTGGCAGCGGTGACGCACATGCCAACAGAGAGGGCTCTGAGTGCCACCTCTGGCACGCGTGCCATAGGTTCACCACCACTGGCTTAGGAAGACAAAGACACCTAAAATCTGCATACCTCATCCAAACTCTAGGAGTCATTAGCCCCAGCACCAGGGAAGCAGGATATGACCTTTGGGACATAATAGGATTAACCCATCACCATCAGAATACCAGAAAAGCACACTCAGACTCAGGTCAAAGTTCATGCCACAGGAACAGGAAGCAACTCCAAACAAAAGGCTCCAGAGGGTATAAAAACCACTCCCCACATGTGCTCAGACCTTTTTTTCTCTCTCTCTCCTCTTTCCTGCCAGAACCATCTTTCTGTCTGGCTCTTCAATAAACTGCAACCTTCTTTTTAGAGCAGTCACCATGTTGTTTATCCCCGGCTTCGACTGGACCACGATGAAGACTTTTTCTTTCAACAGCTGTATCTAATAACAGTGTTTCTCAACCTTAACTTTCAGGCTTGTGAACATCAATTCCCAGTATTCACCTCAACTTTCAGGCTTGTGGACTTCAGTTCCCAGAATTCCCCAGCCAGCATGCCTGAGAAGCATATGCTTAATACAATGTTTCATTAGAGGTGTCACTCAAGCTGCACTCCAGTTCAATGTTCCTCAACCGCTGGAATGTAAAGCCCCTAAAATTCTCCAGCCTTCCTGCTGTGGTTGAGAAACATTGAACTGTACAATATAAATAAAGGCAAATCTCTGAACTCCATTTTTCACTCCCAAGCCCCCAATCCTGCTAGTTCCAAGTATATAAGTCATCCAGGAGCACCATCTCTTCATAAGAGATCCCCAGAGGTTTTGGAAAGTGGAGTGGCTTCCAATTCTTGAATAATTACAACAGAAATGTTTGTGTATTTATGTATTTGCTTGCAATGGTTGGAATATCTTTTAGTCCTGTCGTTTTCTATTTTTCAGTGTAGGAGCAAGAGGAAGTTCTGCTATCTCAAAGACGGCAATTAGAAATTCTTGATGCTTCGCTGCTTTCCTTCCAAGCAGTTTTGTTGAACGATTCTTTTAGGCTGTTGATAACTGGAAGGATCTAAGAAGACTTCTGCAGTGGTTCTCAAGGGTTGACACTGAAAAAGAGAAACAAAACAATAAAACAAAGCTAGTTTCTGGGGAGGAAATGGCCGTTGCACATAAAACAGAGGCAACCAAGGGTCTCCTGAAAGAAAACGTAGATCCAGAAATAAAAATGGAAGCGCAGTGTTCTTCAGGCCTTCAGTCTGGAGAAGGAAGGAGAAGAGAAGATTTCCCAGAAACTGGGAAGATTAAGCAGGAGTTTATCCATCATGTGAAACAAGAGCCAGAAGAAGGACCATCTGGAAATTGGGATGCCCAACTGCAAGAGTTTCTGAAGACGCTGCAGGCTCCCGATTCTGGTGGAGAAAGCCCTTCAGTGGCCTGGAATGACTCTAAAGCCACTCAGGTGCTCTCTCAGAGGATGAGGGATGCCAGCAACTGTCCCAGAGGAGTTTGGATGGCTCAGGCCCAGCCACATCTGGCCACTGAAGCCCAGCGGGACTATGAGAGTTCTTGGGAGGTAGCATCCAGCGGGAAGGGGCAGAAGGGGGTGGTGAGCGGGCCTGGAGCCAGGCTGGAGAAACAGCGCCAGCAGTTCCGGGAGCTGTCTTACCAAGAAGCCGAGGGGCCTCGCGAACTCTGCAAGCATCTCCAAGAACTTTGCCACGAGTGGCTGAAGCCGGAGAAACACACCAAGGATCAGATCCTGGATTTGGTGACGCTGGAGCAGTTCTTGGCCACCTTGCCTTCGGATATGCAGAGCTGGCTGAAAGAAAACGCTCCGAGGACCTGCGCCCAGGCTGTGTCCCTCGCAGAGGATTTCCTTGTGAAGCAGCAGGAGGTCAAAGGCTGGAGCAAGCAGGTGAGCCTCTTTGGATAACGGCGACCTTGAAAGACGGTCGAGAGTGTGCGAGGCATAAAATCTCCTGTATGAATGAGACTGCAGTCTTGGCTAACCTAACTTTTATTTTATTTTTTTTAAAATAATTTTTATTAGCATTTTGCT